ACGCACATACACACATGCACATACACACAAGCACACACACACATACACACAAGTGCGCACACACACACATACATACACACAAGCACACACACACACACACACACAAGCACACACACACAAACGCACACACATACACACACATGGACACTGATGCTGCACCCAAGTGACTAACAAGTCTCATTTCGCACTCTGCGCGTTTATTTTTAGCACCATTGCCCCCGCAGAAAGAGAGAAAAACAAGCAAAAACAGAGCACAGCTGACTGATAGAAAGTGCAGTATTTTTAGCAAAGAGGTTATGTTTCCGGAAGGCCTTGGGGGTTTGGAGCTCAGGGAGAGATGAGACAGATGTGCTGGAGAGCAGTGCAAAGTCCCTCCATGTGAATGCATGGTGGGACACTCCAGATGGGAGCTAGCAAGTGCCTGGTCTTTTACAATGATTGATCTTCTATTTGGGTGGGAGAGGGGTCTGGAAGACCCCAAGAGCTACATTAAATCCTACACCCACCCACGCCCACCCCCCACCCAATCTCTTGCTTCAGCAACGCAGCAGTGAGGATATGAAAGTGGAGGTTGGAATTTTTATAGGGCCTCCCACCGCAACCCCCTCTGCTCCTACACTCTCTTTTCCCCCACGCCCAGCACCCGAAAAAATGCAGCTTCACAGCAGAACCCCAACAGACCAACTGGGTGACCACTTCACACAATGTCTATGTTCTGTCCACAGAAAAAGCTTCCAGTTGCCTGCCACTTCAACACACCACCCTGTTCCCTGGCCGACATCTCAGTGCTCCAGTGAAACTCAGCACAAGCTGGAAGAACAACACCTCATTTCCCGCTTGGGAACTCTATAGCCTTCCGGACTCAATATTGAGTTCAACAAGTGTAGGGCTTGAGGCAACTTCTGCCATGTCTTTACCCCAACCCTCCACACAGGACCCCGACCCAAAATGTCAACTTTCCTGCTCCTCTGATATTGCCAGGAATGCTACGTTTCTCCAGCTCCACACTGTGTTATCCCACACACCAGGCTTTGTTATCACATGGTCTGCTGTTACACACAACCCATTTTTCACCGCTAATAGTCCCCATTAGCAGCTATTCATTCTCCCAAGCTGATCGTTATCCACTCCTTTGTCTGTCCAACTGTTCTCCTCTCTCTTTGTGCTGTATCCCCACCTTTCATTCAGAGACAGTAAGAACTGCCGATGCTGGAGTCAGAGATAACACAGTGTGGAGCTGGAGGAACACAGCAGGCCAGGCAGCATCAGGGGAGCAGGGAAGTCGGGTCGGGACCCTTCTTCCAAAATCAGGGAGGGGGAAGGGAGCTCTGAAATAGAGAGAGGAGGCGTGGGGCTGGGGAAGGGTAGGTGGGATGGTGATATGTGAGTGCAAGTAGGCAGTGGTGGGGATTGGTCAGTGAGGTGGAAGGAGAGAAGATGGACAGGTTGTGTCAGGTCAAGCAGGCGGGAGGGTTGGTCATGGGATGATGGCGGGGGTCCTTGGATGGAGGTTTCCTTTTCCCTGCAACCGTAGCAAGTGCTACACCTGCCCCTACACCTCCCCCCTCACCCCCATTCAAGGCACCAAACAAACCTTTCACATCAGACAGGGGTTCACCTGCACATCTGTCAATGTGGTCTACTGCATCCACTGCTCCCAATGTGGCCTCCTCTACATCAGTGAGACCAAGCGTAGACTCGGAAGCCGTTTTGTAGAGCATCTGTGCTCTGTTCGTGACAAACGACAACACCTTCCTGTCGCAAACTATTTCAACCCCCACTCCCACTCCCTGGACGACATGTCCATCCTGGGCTTCCTCCAGTGTCACAACGACGCCACCCGCAAACTGGAGGAGCAGCACCTCATATTCCGCTTTGGGAGCCTACAGCCCAATGGTCTCAATATGGACTTTACCAGTTTCAAAATCTCCCCAACCCCGGCCTCCTCCCTCTCATTCCCGCCTCCTTGACTTGACACAACCTGTCCATCTTCACTCCCACCTATCCACTCCTCCCACCTCACTGACCAATCCCCACCACTACCTACCTGCACTCACCTATCACCATCCCACCTACCTTCCCCGTCCCCACTCCTCCTCTCCCTATTTATTTCGGAGCTTCCTTCCCATCTATCATTTACTCCTTAGCACCT